ATGTGAAGCATTTTTTGTCCTGCATTTTGTCATACTATACATGCTTGAATAACGGTTCTTACTGCACTGTGCATTTACTGTGTTCTACATAAACTACAAGTCAAACTGAAGAAGCAGGACCATCTGTATGTGATGAACGATCTTATTGGATCAGAAGCACGACATCCCTCTCCTCATCCATCAGTGCCACACCAGCCAATTTAACCACCACACTTCAGTTTCTCTCAATCAATAAATCCTCCTCTGTGTTGGCGAATATAATGGATTATTGGATTCAGGAAGCCACAGTGTGCTTTGTCCCCTCATTATCGCTCATACTACGGATTGTGTATTTCTCTGTGTGTTTTTCTGCCTGACCAGAGCTTGCCTCCCATCACATCTCTCCTATGTTTCAAAGCCATCTCCGCAGTAATGCGCTGGGGTCAAAACCCTAACACAACCCCTGCCCAGTGGGCATCCAACCAATGCGGTGCGCATTGGTTGGAAGCTACTCGTACTTTCTATCAACCACAGGGCATCAAAACCCAACTACTGCACCTCTTCCTGTCACAGAAAGTTAGATCATAGCTTCCAGAAAGACTGTACTGAAGATTTCCTTCAGCTGAGGATAATACCCAAAATCAAGTTATTCTTTTAACTCCATGATCTGGAGAAAGCTATCCAGCCAGTCTTCTGTGTCCCTCTGCAACTTGTCCCAAATGCTACTGCTAGTGAGCAAATTGTGAGCAAAATGGTTACAGTTATCAGGATTATTGCATTATTGTAAAATATGCTGAAATTTTTCAAAAAGTATTGATACACACGCTGCATAAGCAGCCTGTCTTTGAAATGTGTGTTCGAGTGTCACTGTAAATGAGGACAAGGGGCCAGTAGTGTCACCGGGTTTGGCTGCTCTGTAAAAAATAAGGCTGAAAAATCTCCAGAGGGCTGTCACTGCCTACCATCGTGTTTTAGTTAATGCTGGTCAGTATTTACTGTGAGTTTTTCAATCTTCGTTTTCATGAAAATTTTGAAACGGTAATATTAATCATCAAGAATTTTATGGTGGTTTATCGTAAAATCGGTAACCATTTCATTCCTACATCGCACTGTGCTGATATCTTTTCACTGCCTGTCAGTGCCTCAGGTCTTAATTTCTATTGTTAAGGCACTTAACAGGCAGGCCTCTTCATATACCCCAAGTCTTTAAAGCAGCTGTAATCAATATTTTCATAATAATGGATCAAATGATAATAATAAATACAATCCTTCACTTTATGAGACATTGTGTACAAGCACTAGCCTGTGTGTGTGTGTGTGTGTGTGTGTGTGTGTTGACCTCTGTAAGTGTGCTAATCATTCTTTATCCTCGTATAAATCTGGGGTCATACCCATAAAGCTTCCTCGTATGAGCTGCTCCTAGTCACAAATTTCCAAGAAAATTCTTAGAATTATGACATTTTCTGAGAATTTTCCCTTTAAGTAAAGACTAGGCTCTGGTAAAGATAAAAGTTCACAAAGCATCTTAGCCCTTAAGAGAGCTCCTATGGTTAAAAAAAAAAACAGAAACTGTAGGAGTAAGAGTTTCTTAATCGGAGGAGAAAATGGCAGAAACACAAAGAAGTCACAGAAATATTCTCCAAACGCTGGTTGACAGTGAGTAAATGACATGCTACAGATAAGATTATGCAGGTATAATGTTTGTGGTTGATCTCATTAGGAATATACATATACATTTCCCACCCAGCACAATAAAACTATAACTCCAGAAAGAAAACGATCACAACACTAAGATATTTGGAAAACTGGGAAAATGCAGCAGTGATGACTTGGGTCTGCCTCAACCTTTTAGGGTGACCATATTTTGATTTCCAAAAAAGAGGACACTCGGCCCGGCCACGAGATAGCCTACTTAAATGATACTCGCAGTTTACTCAAAGATGCCTTATCATTTTAATATATTTAAAGTTTATATGTATGGATAGAGAATTCAGTTATATTACAAAATATTATCTCTCAAAGACAGAAATTCAGATAGGCCCCAATAGATAGGGGACACATACACACACACACACACACTAGAGTGTGGCTACCCGATCCAAACCCCATGGGTCCCGACGGGTCGGGCCGGGTTCGGTCAAAAATGTATAAATTGTATTCGGGCTCGGGTCGGATTCGGTCAGCTTTCAGTGAAAATGTAATGTAAAAATAAATAAAATCCTATTGTCCGTCCTGTTTATTGCTTGGGCACTGTTATTTACGTGACAACACCTGAACAGAACACACACACACACACACACATACATTGGCTGTTTGTTTCTACCTCTCCCCTCACCGGAAGCCTTGGTCCTCCAGCCACCCGCCTCCGCCTTGATTAAACGCTGAAAATTAAATAAAAGAGGGAGACAGGTTTTTCCTATTTTATCTTATTTTGTTGCTCCCATCTCAAACACGGAGGTCTCCCTCTCAGTGGAGCACCCACGGCGCAAGCCCAGCTTGTTAAATAGCCTGTAACCATGACAACTGTGTGACACAAACTCAGTGCTTTAGTCATTAAATAATGGGCTCGGTTCGGTTTCGGACATAACAAAACAGAATGACTGTCGGGTTTGGACAGAAATATGCTGCCTGTGCTGCACTCTAAAACACACACACACAAACACACGGAAAACTGGACATTATCATCAGTTTATAAAAAACCCCCGGACGCCCCGGACAGGACGTCAAAAGTGGACATGTCCGGGCAAAAGAGGACGTTTGGTCAGCCTACCTTCCATCACCTTCCATCACACAATGACAACACTTGTAGTCTCATATTGTGATACAGCTCATGTCATTTCCTCTGGGTGTCCACACCTTGCAGGCTCAATAAAGGGCGTGTCTCTGACAACCAATCACATCCATTAAAAGAATGCATCATACTAGCAACAGGGTCAACCACACCTCCTCACTAAGGTTGAAGTTTCATTCCCTTCCTTGCTCAGAGTTGCTCTGAGAACTTTCGTAACTCACTCCTAAGCTGTAACTCCTTACTAAAAAAAAATAGGCTAGGTTTGGAGACACATTTGTTCAGTGTTTCATTTCTTACTTAAATGAAAGTTGTATATGTGAGCATTAGGGTATACATAATAATCAATACCTGTGTGGAATACTATTCTTTTTATTGGGTGTCTTTGCAGAGCATCTTGTCATTTAAGTTTTAAAATCCCAACCGAGAGTTTCAAATTGTATGCAGATGATGTGTTCATAAACTTAAAGCATAAATAAAACCCCAAACATATTAAACTTGCAGATGAAATTCCTGCTGCTTTTCTCCCCTCACTGTGAGAAATGGTTTAGCACAGCTCCAACTGTGTTAGTCGTTCTACCATTTCAGCTTATGATTGTGTCTGAATGCCAAGCTCCTTTGAATGCTTGGGTGTCTTCCAAAAAAGCTGGAAACTTGAGCCACAGCATGAAAGTCTGCATTGTTGCATTGTTCCCACTTTTTCAAGATTCGCACACGATCATCTGATTCTGCCCTGTACATCTGGAATTATTTTCTTAATAGTGCATTTAACTTTTTGGGTGTTTGATGTGATGAAGACCTAATTTGGATATCACACTCTTTTCAAACTCATCCAGACAAATTCATCTTACGCAAACATGTGAGAATCAGCTGACCTGGAGGGATTTCAGCCTCTGCACAGGGTGTTACAAACCCTAAGTGCTGAGACGTTAAAGTGCAAAGTGAGCACCTAATCTGTGCGGAGAATGTGACCCTGAGTTATACCACACAGGTGCTCAGCTATAAGGCCAAAGTCCCCTCTGAACAAAAAGAGTACAGTACATAACCTTGCAGGGTTTTCTTGGCATGGTTTCTGTGCTCGCTGTATGAAAAGAAAGGTTCACAAAAAATTAAGATCAGGTTAAGCAGGTTAGCATTAAGCCTCTGAGTTTTCCAATTTTCTCCCCTTGATTAAATACTTCCAGCTGAGATATCAAGGGAACTGGCACACAAAATGATCTTAAAAAGGTCATTTAGAGTTTTATCTGTCGAGCAAACTAGCGTGTTGTCATGCTTTATCTGAATCATTTCATTTCACTTCAAAGTTTTAAGGGACTGTTAGACATTACAAAATATACAGTAACTTTCTTGAAAAAAAATCTAATCAAGCTACAACAGAAGACTGGAAACAGGTGGAAACGGCTGTGGCCTGGCTCTGTCCAAAGGCAACAATATCTACCCACCAGCACCTCTAAAGCTCACAGATTAAAGGAACACTTCACCCACAAAATGATCATATGTAAATCAATTATACACCCCATGTTACCTTCAATTTGTGAAGACAACTTTGTTTTTCTTGCATGCCTCCCCCAAAAAACTGTGAAAATATATATATATATTTTTTTGATTGTCTGGGGTCCGTCCTTAACAACAGCAAGACTATATCAAAACATACATTTGCAAACTCTCACAACTCGTTCAGTGTAGTCTCATTTATCCAGTTGTATGCTCTGTACTTCCCAAACACAAGCATTTTTGCTAATTATATATGGACTGATAGTGAAACTTACTGATGCTCTCTTCAAAGCCATGCCAATACAGTTTTGTTTTGTTTTTTTTAAAGTTTTTTTTTAGCAAAAGTGCATGGAAGGGAAGTCCTGAGCAGATGACTGGATAAATGAGACTTGGATTATACTGCACGAGTTGTGTGAGGGTTTGTAAATTGATGTTTTATTATATTTTTGCTGTCATTAACCGTGGTTCCCAAACAGCTACTGAATTAATATGTTCATCATTTTCTTTGGAGGCCTGCGAGAAAAACAGTTTCTTCACAAATCCAAGGTAACATGGCATGGCTACCTGATTTACATGGTAACTTTGTGGGTGAAGTATTCCTTTAACACATCAGCTCTAGTTTAATGTGTGCATAAAGCAAAGTGTTGCGGGTTTAAGCAGCTGCTGGTGTTAGCTTTATCCTCACTGTACAAGAAAGTTAAACTCTCAGCGAGAAAATTCATAAGCAAATCTCTCAAAATGACAAATATGTTACTTTATTTCATCAGCAGATATAAACAGTGTCAGATACATTCATAGAATCATTTGGAAATTTTTATTGTAGACATGCAGAAAACAGTATTACAAGAACTGATTCTCACATAACAATCAAATATGGTTTCTGTCCATTTCTGTGATTTAACTTCTGAGCCAGAAAAGATTATACTGTAAATATAGTGATGTAGCATTTAAGTTTATCTGAGCGAAGTGAGCTAACCAGCTAAGTGTTTTTTTTTTAACTTATTCTGTGCTCCTGTTGCATCACATGGTTCATTGCAGACCGTGCTGCTTTCCTCCTCTTCTTTATGGTGAATTGTGCTTTTGCTCTCTCAATAGATAACTGAATTGGACTCATGAACGGAGTTGCAGAGGTGGTCACATGGAGGTTTTCAGATCTCTGTAGATTGAGCTCTTCAGTGGTGGCAGCTTTGGGTGGTGTGGTTGTAAAAGTCATTGGTGTTTGTTCAGTTTGTTTAGGGATTGAAACTCCCTCACTGAGAGCAGCAGCCATGGCTTTCTTTTTTGGTTTCCTCTGCTGTCTGTGTGGCTTTGTATTGATAAAAGGGGCCATGGGGATAGTGGTAAAAAGCCTCCATTCACTGTGAGTTTCTGTTTCTTCCATAGGCCTGCTAACTGCAGCAGTGGTCGTAGGGCTGCCCAGTGGATCACCTGTCTCTGGAGTTTCAAGAATAGGTAGGCTTTCACTTGACAAAAGGGGCAAAACTGTTTTCCTCCTCCTGCTTCTCGGTCCTTTCGACTTTTGCCTTTTCAGAACACTAACAGAGGAGTTCAGAGCCGAAACTTGGACGGTCGATTTCCCTCCATAGATGTCTATCCTGTGTGAAACCTGTGTCTCTGTGGTGGGCACTGACGGCATGGTGGGAGCCCCGGAGGGAGGGATCACTTTCAGATTGGCTGCGGAGGAATTTTCATGGGCAGCGACCTCAATGGGTGAAGCCGAGCTGAGTTTCCTCCTTTTTTTTCTGCCCCCTCTGTCTCCTCTCTCCTTTGACCTGTTCCTTTTGACTTTGGGGATTACAATGGGGGCACTGGCAGTGCTGACAACAAAGCCCTGCTGCTCGAGCTGTGTGGTTGGGGTTATGGTAATGATGGTGGGGACAGAAATGGCTCTGAAGTTGTCTGTTGTGTTTGTTACAAAGTCTTCAGAAGAAGGGCGAGGGAAATGCTTGCTTTTCTTTCTCTTACCCTTTCTGAGCTTTGTGGTGTTAGCTCTGTGTGGATTGATGCTTGCTGGCGTAGAAAGAGTGACCTCTTCTGCGGCCTCTGCTGGTTTCCTCTGGACTGTCGTAGATGACGAAATGGAAACAGTCTCCTTATCCATCGCTGGTTCATCTTTCATGACGTCATTGAAGGGCTCTTTTCGTTCAAGCTCATATTCACTGTCACCAACTCTGTTTGTGTTTCTACCTGACTGCTCATGTTTGTCTGCCTCACTGATGGAGTTACTCAGACTGACGACTTCTTCTGCTGAAGAAGGCAAAACTGTAGCTCCCTCCTCTGCTTTCTGCTTTCTCCTCCTCCCCTTTCCTTTTCCTTTTCCTTTTCCTTTTCGCTTTTTGGTGGTTTCCTTCTTCCTCCCTGTGTTCTTCCTCTTCTTCTTCTCTGAGCTTTGAGTCTCACTTTTATCAGAGTCAGTGGTGGAGCTCTGAGAGGTGGAGACGGTAGCGAGGACCTTGATGAAGTCCTCTGCAGCGGTGACAACGTTTCCAAGTGAAGGCTCTTCAGGGCTTGACATTGTTGACTGTGTTGTGCTCTCTGGTTTTTCTTCTTTTTTGCTTTTCTTCAAATCTTTGGCTTTGGGAGGACCCACTGTCAGCACATCGATGACATCAATGCCACCAAAGTCATATGGGACCGCCTCTTTCAGCACAGCAACTGGAAACTTCTCATACCGTTTACACCTACAAGGGAAAACAAAAAAAGGGAAAATGTGTGTGGTGACTTTATAAAGTAATCCAGCTCAGGATGTTGCAAATCGAAGTTTAACACCAAAGTTAACTGATACTTACATGCCATACCAGTGCCGCTCTGCACACTGATCTTCATAGGCTAACTCAAAGCAAGGCACACCGATGACATTGAAGAAAGCCTGACCAACTACCCTGGAAGATGTGTCGTTGACTTTCCTCAGACAATCTTTCAACCTGCAGAGAGAACGAAAATCCAGCCTTGTTTTTAGTTTTGTCTTTTGGGAATCAGTTAAATGCAAAAAGAGATGGCAACACAGTTTGACCCTATAATAGCAGAGTAACTGACTTTGCTGTGTTTGACTTGTTGCTGCGACTCCACTTCTGCAATAATCCCTGTTTTCACCTAGGGAATAGGTTTTGTTTCAACATTGGGCGGGGCAAATGTGAAATTGTTGAGGGTCCTCTGTTAGAAAAATTAGAACATCACTCACTTTATTTTCTTGTATTCTGGTGAATGTTTATGCACCAATTTGTGCCTTATCTGCATCAATTAATGCTATAAATGTATTTAATTCCTTTAATTCCTTTCTTTGGTCAAACTAGCAGCGACACAATAATTAATTGGTGACTTATTTTATGTGAAGTTATTTAAAGTTATGTGTTCTTTAGTGAATTCTGTTGCATTTTAAAATCATGTTAATTATGCTTTGCCTAAAGTTGATGGTCATTGCAAAGTTTCACCCAATTTTTATGAGTTCCAGAAAGTAACATTTAAATAGCTGTTTATAACTGAAGTTCACCACATTTATTTCCACCTGTAATTCATTCTGGTGCATTTCTTTATAATCCCTGTGTTTTTTAACCACCTGAGGCTGACTCTTTAAAAGGCTGATGCACATTGTTCATTTATTTTCAAGGAAAATCCATCATAATGTTGTCATTGTTCCACATGCATTTCAAAAGAGTGTCCTAAACACGTGGCTGTTGACATGCATCACAGTGGTCCAATTAACATTCCTCATTTTTAAGCAAAAGATATTTCTGTCTCATACATAGGTGTTTTACTCACGCATTATCACAGTCACAATGACAGATGGAGTGCCACTTGAAATTAGTGTGGCCATATTTAGAGGAGAAGGCATGGATGACGTGAGGGCAGTGGTCATGGGTGCGGCAGCAGCTGTCCGTCTCTTCAAAGTCTCCTGCAACAAGGAGGTCAGAATTAGTATCACACATCTACATAAAACACACACACACATAATTAACTTAATTTGCTTGAAGAGATTAAATTAATGTAACCCACCCAGCTGGTCATAATGATCAGCCATGTTTCCAGCTCCACACCACAGGGTCCCAGGATAAGTGAAGCCTCTCTTGGATCTTTTTAAAACCTTGTCCTGCAGCGCAGAGTCATCACTCTCATCCTTTTTCACCCTGCCGCTGCGCTCCGACCTCTCTTTAAACTCCCGGCACATCAGTTTGGCTTCATCCATGTGCGCAAAGCGCGTCTCCAGCTGCTGCCCGGCTCTCTGTTCTTTCAGTCCCAACCTGCACTCATGCATGAACGACTTCACCTGCATCTGGTTCATTGTGACAGAGCAGTTCACGAGCTTCCCGGCGGGGCTGACGACGGAGCGCACCATCTCGGCTCCGTCTGACACCTGGTAGAGGAAACTCTCCCTCACGGTTGACATTTTTGCGCAAAAGGTGCCGTTGAGCATGGAGAACATCTCTTTGCTCTCCTTCTCTGCGTCCAAAGCTCGGCTCAGGAAGTCGCCTTTGACAAAGTTTCTGTCCAGATAAGACAGAAAGACAAAGAAGACCGACCACATGATGCGGCCAGTGCCACTTTCAGCACCACGCGTAATGGAGACAGCTCCTTGCGGTTTTCCGGTACTCTCGAGCAACACTCCCTCTTTTAAGACGAAGCTCAAGTGGTGTGATTATTAATACGATAAATGGCAAAGCTGGGAGGAGTCAGCTGAATTAACCTCTTTAGATATCAAGCCCGAGTAGAGTAGCTTTATCAATTACACAGCACAGAGCGCTGGTACACTCTGAGACCATATTAACCGGTGCATTACCTCGCTGAATAAAACGTGCAGAGGGAGAGGAGAGGGTTAATTTGTGGGTGTGCAGAGCGTGGACCTCTAGCACCTTTCATGGCACAGAGAGATGACCGCAAGTTACCTCCCAACCCCCTCAGCTCAACCCCAGAAAGTGGAGATTTACTTTGGGAACACGCATGGAGGAGGTTCTAGTTTGCCCCCCGCTTTCCATGGTAACAGGCATGGCGTGATTGTACCAGCCCAGGAGATTGGACATCTTTCAAATGCCACACAACAGGCACTGAATTGGTGATGACCTAAATCACAATGTAGGGACAAAACTCTTTCATTGTGGAATGTGAGGAAAGGTTGGCGCTGTCGCACGCAAACCACAGTGACTGAAGGGCCTCAGCAGGCTCAGACTGGGTGAGCTGTGTGGTTTGGGGAGAAGGGAAGTGGGTCCCATTTTGTTTTGTATTGTACACACTACAGTATAATTTCAGTGGGTTAGATTTCCAGTAAACCTTGAAATATTCTGGTGAAGGCCACAGATCAGATATTGGAAAGGTTCAAGTTTGAAGTGTGCAAGGTGCAAACTCGACCTCGAAAGCCTGCACATGTATGGCAATATGGTGTATTTAATTGGTATTCTTTTTGATTTCTCCATTTTTATATACCATTTGATTTGTTTGTGATTGGATTTTATTATAGACATAAAGGTCTGAAAATGTCATTGTGAAAATTATTGAAATTGTTTATTTGTAGACTGTTGTGCTGTTTGGAAATGCAGCATTCTGGATCTGACCCACTATATATAAGTTGTGGGCATAGTATCCGTGACACAATAATAAAAGCATTCATTCATTCAATTAATGAATCAGCAGCTTCATTGTTGCTGCACGCAGCAGGAGATACGCGCCATGCTTTATTTGTTTTGCAGATCTGTGTCTGATCATATCCGACCTATGTTTATTAAGAGGAATTCTAACTAAAATCCCACGTGACTTAAGAAAATGATGCACAGCAAATTCCTCTGCATCTGCAAACAAGTGAGAAGAAAAGAAAAGAAAATCCTCCTTTCAGGTCGGGTTTCTAATCAGCCCAGTGTTTTGTCACATGGCTGGTCTTATGGAGCTCTAGAGGCGGAGATCCAGCCTACTCAAGGCACTGAAATCGGATTGTTGGAAGGCGGAGAGAAATGATGTAAAATCACCAGAGGCAACATTCGACCAAATCTTGAGGGAGGGGGGAGAGAAAAGGGTTCTCATGAATTAAAGTGGTCACTGACTGCAGGAGGGGTTTAGGCAACCCAAAATGAGGCTGCTGGAAATATTTTGAGTCCATGTGGAGTCAACAAACAGCGCACAGTGAATCAGAAAGGTGACCCTTGATGAAATATGTGTTGTATTGCATCCCACTGGGTAATTCTCCTTTCAGTCAGGCTAGCTGCAGAACAGCGCCCCCTGGACGTGTTAGAAAGTCAGTGTCTGAATCTAGGACACCTGTGTGAGCTCAGTGCATCGTCCTGATGTGTGCGCAGAGTTTACAGATGCAAAATGAGTCTTGCAGAGTTAAGAGTGGATGTAGTTACCTCATCAATATCCTAATGAGGGCTAAATCTAAAGACACTGATAATTATAGTAGTATAGTTAACTTAACCTGCTGGCAACAGGAAAAAGTGTGGTTTCAGTGGTACTGAGTAATTTAGAGATTAATATAATTCTGGATGCATGACATAAAATCCCTTAGTTGTTGCTTTAATTTATTCATTTTTATGTGGTCTTCACTGTTTTGATTTACAGCTCTCATCTGTTTGTCTTTGGCCTCAGCAGGCAGCTTCTCCACAGTGACGTTAGCAGCTAGCTGGTAAACACTGTTGAGCATTTAGCACCAAAAACAGAGCTTAAAAGAGACTTGCATTCATGCAGTGGACATAAACACAACTCCAAATCAATGTCAATGTGGCCCTGTGACAGCTGCATGTGTAAATAAGCAACTGTTTGCTAAAAAGTTCATCAAATCAACTTAAGAGGTGATAAAAGTCTGTGACAGTGTTGTGTTTACAGCTTGTTTATGCTGACATCTGGTGGCCAAAAACAGAAATTGTTACTGCAGAGTTAAGCATTTCTTCGAGAGAGAAATCCATCAGCATGCAGTACTATCAGTCAGACATGTGTTAATATCTGCTTGGATTACATTCATTTATTCATATTTACAAAAATAGATGAAGAAAAAGTACATGTACAATTCATTAGAAATAATGGAGATGTGAGACGGAGCACCCTGATAAGCTATCGAAAGCTTGAGAATGAAGCAAATTGTATTCAAAATAGTTTTTTGAACACATTTAGATTTAAGAACAGAACGTTGTACATTGCACATATTGTAAGTGTGCAAACATGTTAAAGTGTAAGAGTGTATTTGGAGAGCACCAGAGTAAGAGAGAATGAAAAGGTAAAAGCCATCCAGGGTGAAGCACGAGTAGAAGTTGAAATTTTCAAATTTGCACAGGCCATAGATATATATTTTTTATTGTTTAATAGGTATTGTTTGTTAGCTTAGTTTCTAATAGGCTCTTGGTCTACATACACATATAGAGGACATAATACTTTCTTTGGGGGGTTAGCCTGGGGAAGCTTCTCCAGCACTGGCTCATTGATACATTTATTGTAAGTTCATTGGGTTCACGATACACAAGACACCACTGTGGGAAAGTACAGTCACTGCTGTCTGAGAGGTGAACACTCAGCTTGAAATCTGTTGTAAAAAACTGCGATGAAATTTCAGATCCGTTTATTTAATAACTCTAAGAACCTTTCCAGTCTGAGAACTGGGGAATGTACTGGGAATACAGTAAGATAATGGATTTTGTCTCCCCAGCTGTGAACATGATCACAAGCTGAGTTTATTTAGACACCGATACTCGGGTGACTCTGAACACCTGAAGCAGCTCTGGATAACAACCTGAGGCATGCATGTGGGGAAAAAATAACCTTAACAATGTAATGCTGTCCACTGTGTAACCTTTGTTCTCTCAGGTCAAGGACACCAGGAAGGTTAACATGTTTTGAGGATCAGTGGTCAGAGTTTCTCCATTTAACCATCCTTTACAGCAGGGATCTACAAAACAACAAGTTCAAAAAGTAATGCAGCATTTTTCGTAGCAGCTTTTAAACATCCATCCAACATCATGTTTTATAACCAGTTAAATTTAAATACAATACAAGTGAGAAAATGAGCCATAGCGCTACAGACTCCATGTGACAGGAGGCTCTATTTTAAAGGTCCAGTGCGTAGAATTTAATGGCATTTAGCGGTGAGGTTGCAGAACTGAAATTTCAATTTATGTCAAACATGTAGGTGAACTACAGTGGCCGATGTGAAAACATGAAAAAGCAAAGTTGCGAATGGCTCTATTGAGAGTTGCTGTTTGGTTTGTCCGTTCTGGGCTACTGTAGAAACAACATGGCCGACTCCGTGGAAGAGGGGCCGCTCTGTATACAAATATAAACAGCATATTTGAAGGTAACAAACACACCATAATTCTTATTTTTAGGTGAGAGCAATCTCAGTTTGACAGTTACAGACCGTAACTCTCTGTAAGTTTCTATTCTCACACCATAAATGGGAAGTAATGATTATCTGTAGTGCAAGAAAAATGCATTACAGAAAGTAAAAGTCTCTAATGTGCTTTGGACAATAGTTGGCAGAGATGTAAAGTGTACAGGAGTTGTGAGATAAATCATGGAAAACAGACTTTCCCCACACTACCATAAAACAAGACGGAGCTGGGTGCAAAAAACAGCAGCTTAAAGAGCTTCCTCGGAGTATGGTGTCAAAATTAAGGAAAAGAAACTTTATTTAAGCTTAAGAAGAAAACCAATGTGACAGTGAAGCATTTCCTGTTTCTTGGCAAATGTTATCTGCACTTTTCTGCTCTGCATCCTCAGAGCAAGAATTGCTCTGCTAACTGATGTACTGACAGAAGTACATGTGTTTGCTTGTAATGGTCGATGAGGCTGAGACTGCTCATCAAATCATTAGCTGACTGCAGGGCTGGTCAGCTAATGGTTGGGTCAGCGTTATAAACAGACCTCTCCCTCCCACCCACCATTCACCCCACTGGAACTTGAGACTGGTCACTCTCTCATTCACAGTCTGCTTCATTCACCCCAGTTTCTGCCTCGAACAGCACAGACGTGAAGTGTTGTTTATCAAATGGACGTGTTGGCCGCTCCTGCAGACAGACATAAAGGATGGTACCTTTCTCTGATGGCACCCAACACAAAAGGACCAAAGTTTGCCTGGCTGGACCCGTCCAGACTCTACTGCAATTCCCTGGTATGGAGGGAGGGAGGGGATGATTTCTAGTTACTTGATAGTGTTTTTACTGTCTTCTCTCTGATTGAACGGAGTATTAAAGTCATTTATAGCAGAAAGATACAAGTGGTGTGTGCATTTCCAGTGCATGTTATGCATTTACTGTCTTTGCACTCGTGTCAGGCTCTTGCAGACTGTGTCAAAGACCTTCTCAGCCCATTCCACAGCGACACCATTGACCTGGTTGCCGGGATAGATTCAATGGGATTTATTCTTGGTAAGAACACATACTAATTCATTTCAAGAAGGGTATAGATTGCAGTTTAAGAGCTATCTCTTGGTGTGTCACACTAATTCCAAGAGGTTGTTACTCTTCTAGTACGAAGATCTGGAAATCTAATCCCTGACCTTATATACTAAATTTAGATACTGTCATAGCACACGGCATGACACTGTGCAAAAGCATTCTTGGTCTAGTTTACACTGAGGTTTAGCCACAGATGGTGATTATCTCTGAGATATTATTCTGTTGATGTGGATGAATATTTCCGCTAATTTCTTTTTTCAGGTGCGTCTCTTGCCAAAACCCTTGGCAAAGGTTTTCTGGCTATCCGCAAAGCAGGACACCTGTGTGTCTCTACTGAATACCAAACCTACAGCGACTACACAGGCAGAGAAAAGACTATGGAAGTAAGACTGGATGTGCTAAAACCAGGTTAATCTTCTTTTACTCTTCACTCTTTCACCATGTGAGTTATTTCTCCTGAGGAGATGAATGTTTACACAGCTGGTGATGTCTGGACACCTCAGGCGTGTGACACATCACTTCAGTTTATGAGTCTTGACAAGGGTATAAGTTAGTTTAGACTTGTGTTATTTGTGTTTTTATGTAAATATTCAGTCTTATAATTGGATAATGTCCATACGAAAAGCAATACACAGGTTCAGTGATTACTTAGATCATCATTTTACAAAAAAAAATTAAATTAAAATTAAAATAATAAGCAGAATCTAAACATATAAAGATTTGCAGATGACTTTGACAAGGCTATAACATACTTATTTCTGTATGGAAAATCCAGTATGTGAACAGGGGCTTTCACAGGGCTTTCATAGTAAATTAATCTGCAGATTATTTGGTTGATTAATCGATTAATCATACAAAATAGTGAAAAATAGTAAACAATGCCCTTAATTATATTCTACAGCCCAAGGTGATGTATTTAAATTGCTTATTTTATTCAAATAACAGTCTAAAACCCAATGATTTTCATTTTACTATCATATATGACCAATAAAGGTATAAATTTGATAAGCTCGCATCTGAGAAGCTGCTACCACCATACACAAATCTGGCATCTTTGCTCAGAAAATGACTTAAATATTTAATTTATCATGTTAATAGCTGCTGATTCTGTCGATTAACTAATCAATTAATGACCTAATAGTCTTAAACTAACTTTACATTACGTAACCCACATGATTTAAACTGCAGGGCTCCTCAACTTCATGTCCATTTATTCCCTGTAACACAGCACCCTCTGGTGTTGATGTTGGAGGAGTGTCTTTGACATAATATCAGAAATTAAGGGCATCAATTTGGAGTTAAATTCTGTGTTATTCATTTTAAATACATCAAAGATAATGATATTTAAGTCCTGTATTCCAGTTTTTTTTTTCTCTGCCAACAATTGTTTGCTATAAATGTGGAAACTACTATTAGAGATTTATTAATCTATAGATATGTTAAATTTATTGTTATTTTTTACAGTTTGAATTAGTCCTTTAGTGTAGGATTAGACACTGAGCCAAGAGATAGATGTTAATGTTAGATTTAATTTTAATTATTTACTTCACTCTTTTTTGTGCATATTTATATTTGTACATCTGGACATTTAAACGCCAAATAATTTTATGTACCACTGTGTTATTTGTGCTGTTTGCTTTATATTTTGCACTGGATACACTATAGCAAACTATTTATTTTTTTAACATTGTCTAATATGTTTATACTCCTTTTTTTTTGCTATGCTTTACTTTAAAAGAGGATTATCATTTGACTTTGCTAAACATGTGAACACTTAGGTAAAAATTGGATGCAAGTACATAACATGTCTCCGTTTCCTGTAGGTATTAGGGTGCTAATAGTGGACCAATGGATAGAAACCGGAGGCACTATGAAGGCTGCCATCAAACTGGTGGAGAGGCTGGGAGCCACTGTTGTAGGTCAGTCTAGATGGTTAAATAATGATGACATAATTCAAAGATCCTCAGCATTTTAAAATAGACATCACACACTGTTTCCGGCAGGTGTAGCCGCCGTGGCCATCGAGAACACTGAAGGTGGGAAGTGGATCAAAGAACACTACAAATTCTCTCACTGCATCCCTGAAGAGCTCCAGAGCCAAGTTGACCGGAAGTATCTCGATTTCTTCAAAAGCTTCAACTGAACAAGAAAACATGATTTCTTCTCACAACTTCAGTAAAGAAGACAAAGGGGAACATGTTTTTTTTTAATATACTGAAATCTGTTTTGCGACAGCTAAACTGTGATTTCAACTAAATAACTCTGAAATATCACATTTAAATGTTTTTATAATCTTTTTATTACATGTAAAACACATCATGAGTCATTTTAAAGAAAATAAATGATTAAAATATTCATACAAACTATTTCAGTTTCTGATATAAAAAAATGATAATCCCAATTCAGTCACTGATGTGATTGTAAACAAAAAGCAAGAAGTACCTATGAAGTATACACTGTAGATTAAAAAAAGTCTGCATCTAACAATGGTTCCTAACCTTGAGGTCGGGACCCACACAGCACAGGGCTCACAAGATAACTTAAAGGGCTTATCAGGATAAGGAAATCAGAAAAAATATTCCTGCTACATGAAATTGTTAAAGTCCCCCTCCACTCAAAAATGTGCTGTCTTATGTTTATGTCCACAAAATGTCTGACATTGACTATACCGACTTGTATCTGTGAAAAGTTTTTTTACTAGAGAGGTGTTTTCACATTCCTCTACTGAAGGGGGCGATGTCTGGATATTTTCCTAAAATCATACACTTGATTAGGTACGTCACTAAAATGAAAGCCAGTCTCTTTCTAATACGGGAAACAAATATCGACGGCATCACAAACTTTGACACAACACTAGCAAAGACACCTGAAACCTCCAGCGCACAGTGGACTCGTCAGTACAGAGAGCAGAGTTAGCATTAGCATAGTGAAAGTTTTGTCAGCAAACATGGCAGAGTGCGCAGTTTTTAGATGAAAACCAGATTCGGGAGCTTCACGATCTACCAAACATGCCATTATAGCAAATACTATTGTGTTCACAACCATTAACACGGTTTTAGCCACTGCCAGTTAGCCTACAAGCCAACAAAGAGGGGTGCAAATCACCAGAGACCCTCCAATACTTTATTATCATAATACTTACAATACAATCTTACTGCGATTTTGCATGTTTTGAGCATTGTGATAACATATACATACTTTTTCTAATAAGATACATTTTTCAGTCTGTCCATTTCACTTCAATAATTTTTGTTGCAGCAACATGTATCTAGTGGACAGATACAGCAATTGATGGTAATATTCTAGTAGGCTACCAAGAGTTTAATTTATATTTGCAATATTAATAATTTAGCGAATAAAGAAAGCGATAAACGGCATCTGTGTTTCATTCAATATTGCCATGTAAAATACAGCAATACTCTTTTTTTCCCCCGCCCCTGCTATAAAAAAACCACCAATAAAAGATGCTGACTACACTTCCTATTCTGATATGTCTGCTAGTCACCGATTTTGGTGCACATGATACTCGTCATCTGTGTCTGGGTCTGACTAAGGTTCAAACATGTATGACTGAATCTCTCTGATGTTTCCTCTAACGCTAACACTAGCCTTTTAGATATGTGCTGATCTTTCATTGGTCAACCTAGCGCAAGCGGTGCTGGAGAAAGCGAAACTTATTGAAAGCAAATTTCTCAATGCGGGAGAAAGAGTAGATCTGCTTCCAGCCCCTTTTCAGAGGTTTTTTTTAACTGCTATGCGGGAAAACCCAAACAAAATATTAGTATACTTAAAAATGTGTCCGGAGAGGGACTTTAAAATGTTTCAATCTTTCCTCTATTTTTTGCTCTTTTCTTGTCATTTACTGCACATTTTTACTTCTTCTAGAAGGCTCGGGAACCTCTGATCTTCAGTATTATAAAAAAAGAGGTGAAGTACCATAAAACAGTTTAAACAGCTGACTTTAAGGTGAACCAGAAATTGTTAAACAAACTACAGCAGCGAGACTGAATATTTAAGCATTGACACAAACACCATGTTAAAAACCTCCTCAGTCACTCTTTGGCATCTCTGCAGGAGCAGAACAGAACAGTCATTTTTTTGTGTGGCTAATTGCTGTGTCACTCTGTAACTCCAGACAAGTTAAACTGAGCAACACCACAAGAATCCACATCCCACAGAGGAAAACTCTCTCCAGGCCAGGAAAAACTGAACTCAAACATGTCAGGAAGTAAAACTCCAGCGTCCCTCCTTCTGCTTTGACCACAGAAATCCCTCCAGTCTTTCCCTCATTTGCAGTCTGTACCTTTGACTCTATACTTCCATCCTTACTGGCAGCAGTTGGGCTGTTTCTTCTTTGATGCAGCGTACAGATTGTTTGAATTGCTGTTAATTTCTGAAACAAATGAACAGCTGGGTGTTAAAACTGTGTGACAAATGTGACAGCTCATGATTACAGAGAGTTTGGATACTCACTGACAACGCCCCCAATTTGTCTTGTTCCACTTTTCTCCAACTCAGCGAGGACGTTGATTTCAAACGCCAAAGATGCAACTCGAAAGAAAAACTCTTTGACATTTTCCCCTACAGAATGAAAAAAAATATATATATATAGATCAGTAAGGGACTGTGCCAAAATTACTGGGGTGGGGAGGAGGGCTGAAACTTATGTCTGACCTTTTTTGCTAAAAAAAAAAAAAAAAAGCAAGACTCTCTCTAGGATTATTAACATTAGCTTTTGATCTTCACTTTCATTTTGAAAAAATCTGCCACACCCTTCTCTGAAATGTCTCTACTCATCCCTGATTTAAGTATCGTAATATTAACAATATTATAATTGATTTTATACAGCCCAAATCCCACACGAGGGGAATTAGCAGTTGTCAAATGTATGGTGAACTTAACAGTTACAGTGTCCTGTTATACACAGACCTAATAATTAATCTTTATTTCCATTTAATTTTTTTTCTCAACATCCTTAACAAAGAAACACAGGACCTTCCCAGATAATGAAACAACCATGTAGATTTACGGTACCACCAGTTTTAATTATTAATTTCTTTTTGAGAAGTCATTATTTACCCGTCCATCATTTTGGCATGGCAGACGGACCTAAATTCTACGAGCCTCAGCTGCTAATGCCATGAAGAAGAATCAAGTCAGAGCAGCAGCCAATTCAAAAAGCTTCATTGTTGCAGTCACCAACAAACATGGTGCCACAGTTGCTAAATTCAACCAAAGTTGACCCCAAAATGTTGTGTATAAAACCGTTTTATAGCTTAGTTTTCAGTAATCTTTAGCTCCCAACCTCTCTTAGTGGCACACATGAAAGAACTATAACCTAATTATGGGATGTTTCTTGCTGAAATTCATGGTCATCATAGTTAGAATCATAGTTTTTATATGCACAGGCTTGTACCTTCAACTTTTTATCAGAGGACCAGATGTTTTCTTTTTTTAAAAAATATATATTATTTCTAATTTTCATCTCGAAAAAATTACATATACAAATAGACTAACAAACATATTCGAACCAAATACAAAAAAAAAGGCATTTAGCCTGTTACATAAACAGAAAGGAAATATGGCCAAGAATAACAAGACATGGTGACTCACAGTAGGGACTTCGGTAATTAGATGGTGAGTTAAGGTGCCCAAATAGAGAACCAGATATCTTCTTCTGCAGTGTTTTTACATTTGCTTCAACTGGAAGCATTTCATGCAGATTCAAGCAGCAGAAGTGCTTTAAGAGTCGCGTAACATTGTCCATGACAAAAAGTAATAGCAGTTTTGCTTCTGAAACTTTCTCACATTTTGCAACACAACATGATCTGCAAGAAAATACTAAAGTGAAAAAATTATAAAAAAAAAAATAAAAATAAAAAAAAAAAGAAAAATTTTATAACCCTCCCACTCTTCTGACCCCACCTCCTTGACTAATAATTTCCAAACAGTCCCTGAGTCAACAGTGGGGTTACTGCCACTGTTCATTTTACTGCATTAAAACATAAAACCCTTACCTGTCAGTGATGACACAGCCCAATACTCTGCGCTGATCTCTTGTGCTATTTTGATTGCGTCTTGTTCGATCTGAGAGTACTGAGCAGGAGACTGTCAGAGAGACCAGAGGCAAAGTTAGATATGCTGGAATCACATCGAACTCAAAAAGTCTGCAACTAACTGTAGTTTTCATTATTGATTAATCTGACAGTTATTTTCCTGCTAAACTGATAACTTGTTTCGTGTAACAAAATTGTGGGACTAATTAGATATTATCCTACAGTCCAAGGTAAGGCCTTTGAATTGCCTGTTTTGGGCAACTAACACTTTGAAATGCAAATATAAACAGTCTTCTGTCACTTAAGACAAAGGAAACAGCAAATCCTCACTATTAAGAAATCAGAGAAAGGGATGTTTTTGTATTTTTGTTTGAAATGGCTGACAACTGATTTTCTGTTCTGTTAATTGACCAATCGTTCAGCTCAGAAGTTTTAAACACTATGAAATGTTACTGTTTTTCATAGGCAATAAGAGTACTGTAATATTTTATTCCACTGCGAGGGAATGACTCAGGGGCATGAGAAGCTCTCTAGTAATAATCCAGTAATCTAATGTGTTGTTTTTTAGGGATTAAAAAGGCAACAGCATCAGCAAATCCAAATAGACAATCACAACAACGTCTCAGCATGCTTATATCATCTCTGCAACAATCACAGTAAAGTAAAAGAGGATAAAAAAGTTAAAAAAAGTTCAAGAAAAACTACAAACTTCTTGAAAAAGAACAATTTTGCTTTATATTTCCAACCACTGCTGAAATACAGTTTACATCTTTATGTCCATCATTTCAGCCTCTATCAGAAAAGCTTCAGAGTCTCATGAAGTGAAGGATGAGGAAACTACATTCCTGAGGTTTGGGCTGGGACACAAACGCTTTGTGCTGCTGGCAACAATCCAAACAGTTCACATTTGACTCCAGTAAAGGTTCACAGGCACGTCCACTTTAAACAGTAAAAAAACGTACGCTCAGGTCTTTCTTTGTGCCAACGAGGAACAGCTGGACGGCGGTGGGGTCGTTCTCTTTCAGGGCATCTTCGAGCCACTGCCTGCAGACAGAATAAGCCAAGTTTAAGTTCTCCAGCTGAGATGAAAACCTGCACCCAACACTGCTCATAATGAATAAGCTTACCTCACATGGCCCAAAGAGGCGACGTCATTTACATCAAATGCAATAATCACAACTGGAGGAAAAGAAAACATGACATCAACAGTTTTAAGAGA